AGCTGGGGAATGTAGTCTGCAACCTGAAAGAGAAGCAAGGCAGCTTAAAGAGTGTCGGCGCAGCAGCGGTTCACTTTACACCGCTGATGTCTGCCTTGGCTCAGGATTTCATGGAAAGTTAACACCGCTGACGATACACAATAAGACAAGAGGTCAAATCCTCACCTGAGGGCCAGAGAGGAAAAACCCACCCTCGGAATCAGGAGTTACTTTGGGACAAACTCTTTGTTTACTTTGGCCTTTATCCACTTTCACTGTTGCTGCAAGCTATTTCCCGCATTTTCCAGAATGCCTTTCAAGAGATGTTTTTCTTTCCTTTAGTACTTTCACACTAACGTTGCAGGCCCAAATACTCTGCCGATTAGTTTAAAGACGGCCCGCCTGGTTGTACAGCTCGATTGCCGGTCTTGATGTGAGCACCATTTGAATATTTGTGACTTTTTAACATCCTCTCGTTGCATTGTCCCCTTGGTCTGCGTCACCAGGTGTCCCAGCATGCTTTGTAAAGTGAATTAGTCACTTCCCACAGACAATGAGTGTGAATTTACTGTGAGTGCTGTTCATTCATTGTCACCAGTCAGTGTGTGCGTATATTGGGCCTGCACAATTTGAAAATGCATCTTTTTCTTCTCCATTTTGGACCTTGTGCAGAGGTCCACACTGCACACTAAGCAGTTATTTTTGACACATAAAAACAGATATTTTGTTTAAATCTTCAGTGTTTAATGTATGTGGGGAAGATGATGATGCATGTGTCTTGGGCTGTGTAGCGTCTAAGACTCACCAATAGCTTATCACACAAAAGGTTTTGTGCATAGCTTGTATATATGTTGATTTTGTCAACTTCATGCTCACTCAATAGACCCTTTTCATGGCAGACATTTTGACTTGTCAAAGCAGGAAAACCAATAATATTAACAATGGTTTCATTCCATTAAGTGTCCCAGTAAGTCATGTACAATACCAGAGCACTGGGACCGGCTCACCTAAATGGAATACAGCAATCATTAAGGTTATTAATTTCACCTGCTTTGACAAGTTAAAATGTCTGCCATTAAAAGCGATTATTCTTCTGTGACTCCAAACCCTTCTGTTGGCCTCAGGTGGGCGTAGACCACCGATGTGCCACCTCCATTGCACACGTAGTCACCAGATGCTTTTCAGCTAAGTTTCTCTGTGGGAGGTTCATATTATGTCTACCCAGAATTCATGATTCTGCAGCTCTCCCTTTTAAAATATCTGAACATTTACGTAGCTAGAACCTAAAATGACGTGACACGACATACAGAAACCTGCTGCCAGAGAGAATCCTGCACCAATGTGTGCTGAAAAACACCAGTATGATTCTTTTAATGTGTTCTGGGGTGGGTTTTTCCTCTTCAGTGTGCTAATACAGTGATTTTCAGAAACGTGTTAGAACAGACTGATGGTAATGAATCTGTATGGGCTAAATCATTATGATGATGGACTGGAAGAAAAAAAAAAAAACCATGGATCTAAGGACACACCTGTCCTCCAGAGAGATTTTTGGCACTCTCATACAGCTCATCAATATGGGAGGAGAAGGACTGGAAGTCTGGGATGACGAACTTCTTGCGGAAGGCCTGAGTGAGCAGGACAATGTTGCTCTGGACACACCTGATGAATAAACCACAAATAGCATGCTAAAATATTGTGACTGCATGCAATTGAAGGAAAAGTTTGTCAACCAAGTTTGCAACCCTGATGTCTGACAAACTTCAATGAATGTTGATAAAAGTGGCTGATGAAGGAGCTTCATCGTAACATATTGATCAGCTGCTTTTCATCCATATAGTGTGATCCAACATGAATCCATATAGTGATGAATGATCAATTTCAAACAACAGACTGTAGTAACAACACTGACGTAGTATATGTGACAACATCAGAGGGTTTCAGAGAAGTGTCGGTTCTCACGTTTTAGGTTAGTGGAGCCAAAAAAAGGTTTAATTTGAGAAAAGGTGAGGGAGGCAACCACCATGGAGTGACACAAACAAACTCCAAAATCCCCAAAACAAATATCTCCTTAAGCCTTAATGTGTTACTTTTAGTTTTATTTTTTTTCTGATTGGCACCAAAGCACACACAAGTAGAAGTGAAAGTTAATAATGAGTTAAATATCCTGTACACAAAAATCTATTGACTTATATTTTGAAGACAGGAAGGAAGTTGCGGGTTTCCCCAATGAGTGCAATCCAGCATTTTCTTTGAGAAAACATCTAGTAGCTATTACAAAAACTACATCTTAGTGCATTTTGCAATTACGCTGATATCCATTTATACTGGCTGTTGCCGCCCCCCCCACTATGACTCACTCCAGTATTACATAAACTGGTATTTTCAAATGTTTCGAGCCTGTCAAGTACATCTCACTTTAAGACTGAGAGCGGTGGCTTCTGTACAATACAAAGCAAAAGCATGTTAGTGAACTATAGCAACTACAACTCTTTGCTGTTAGGACACAAAGCACTTATCTCTTAACACCATTACAGTATTAGAACATTTTTAACATACAGTTGAATCGTGAAATATTTCTAGCAAGCCACCAATAATTCTGATGCCACAAATCTGCAAAACCAAACAGACAAAGACCAAATGAGGCTTGTTGGTATCACTATTTTGCAGCATAGACACAGACGTGGAAGCTGGGTGTATGAAATAAACACAACGGGGAGGGTATCGTTGTTTGGTCCATGATCTGTCTGATTCAGTGATATTTCAAGCTGACTGTGGAGCAGTTTGACCAGTCTGATCACCGGACTGGCCACTGAAGTGACGCCGGTTGCGTTTCCCCAAAGAGTTTGTAAATTTGCTTTCAACTTCTCCACCGCAGGTCACTTTTTTCCCCTCGGCCTGATTTGGTCCGAATCGGCCCTATAAGGCAGTATCATTGTGGACAAAAGCCGCCACCTATTCTTCTGATTTCAATGGGAATGCGACCCAATGGCAGGCATTAATAACTACACAGAAACACCCAATCTTCTCACTGATGGTCGTGTTTGTTTATGTAGGTAATACAGAGGCATCAGTATTAAATTGAGACCGTTTCAACCAGTTAAAAACTCCTTGTAGTATATTTAAAAGGATATAGAAGGATCTCATGCATATAATTAAAGTCACACAAAAACAGAATTGCTGCTAAAATGCTCTTTGATGGCTATATTTCTGCATTTATGCAATATACGCAAATTTAAACAATTAAGTATGTTTGAATTTGCCATTTAAAAAAAATATGTTCATCAAAATGGTGTTTGAAGGCTGAAGAGAGTAAACAGTGAAAAAAACCCAGTGCCACTATCATGGGTGTATATGATGGAGATAAAACACCCACACAAACAAGACACGACAAGCCTTACTTCTTGAATAGGTGCCTGTCCAGTGTAACGCCATCTGTTGTGTTCTTTAGAGTTTCTTTGAGGGTTTCCATGCATTCCTTCAGTCTGGGGTCTCCAGTCCGAAGCCCAGTGGCTTTAAGCGCCTAAAATAAAGAGTATTTAGAACCACCTCTTGGTAGGAACAACTTAAAAAGAAAACAATCAAAAGTGGAAGAAACAACCAAATGTTCATTAAGCGGAAGTGAATTTGAAGGACTTACTGTGAGAAATTTGTGAGCAGGAATCGTCTCTTGACCTTCTGCGACTGTGTAGAAGAGCAAGTCCTCCAAACTCGGGAGAATGCCTGCATTTCTTCTCCTACATTGGAAAGTAGTAAATAGACACAAACACACATGTATGAGACACAGTCACGTTAAAGTACTCTTTAAACTTTGCTAAAAACCCCATTGTTTTTTCTTGTCTTTGGTGTAGAGGTTAACCCTGGAGCTAAATACATGGGACAGGCAGAAAAATGGAAGTAAATAGAGCGCAGTGACAGCATGGTTGAGGACTGCCCTAAAGGCTATTCACACCTGTCCTGCCAGAACAAACAGAGCTTATCTGTAGCTGTTGATGCAGTCTTTACACATTAGTGAGGGATTTGAAAGGCGCACACTGGAAATATGCAATCCAAGTGGAAGCATTGGCCACAGAGGTGTGTGTGTCTGTTTGTAGAGCAGAGTGATCAAAGGATTCATTATGCAGAAAGCACAATACTAGAGAACGGCAGTGAACTCTGATAGGCAACATTATGTATTAAGATTATGGAGAAGATGCTGAACTTGCATGAAAATGGGGTAAAGTTGCTACAAATAGCAAACTAATTTACCTCTGTGATACACAGGCCCACATTCAAACTGTCAACAGGATACAGTATGCATGATGGCTTTAGAGAAAATACAGCCTGCTTCAAAGCTTTCCTTCACTGCTGAATATTTTCATAGTGTTCTGTAGTGCTTTGCATAACGCCGGCAAGGAGAGGAGTGTCAGCGGATATCTGCTGCGGCAAGGTAGTCTGGACATTATTTGGACTGCATGCTCGTGCTCAGATGCATGCTTAAACTAGAAATGTTGAAATGTTTCAGAGATAGAGCCCTAGCAATCTCTCCTTCACCCAAAGCGCCTGTTCACAAACCATCAGTGAGGGTAACCAATAGAAACTGCTTCAATCCATTTGTTTGTCACTACGTGGTTCTCTCACTCTTTACAGTCTGTTGGGAAACACAGCTCTAAAGCAATGGCCTTCAATCAAAAAGGATAGAAATAGTATCCAGAATTGTACGGAAAACATCAGTTCATTTTCAGAAATCCTTCAAAAACAGTTGACACCCAATACCACCATCATGCTGTTAGGTACTGAAATATTATGACTATGTAAAGATAACACCCCCTACTACACGTCAGCTCACTCGTAGGTTTGGCAGTAGTGTCTGGAGCAGGGTTAGACCCAGAACTAAATTCCAGGAATTCTCTTTTCTTTAGCCCAACACAGCCCTCTGTGGCTCTTGGATTAATAAAGCCAACACTGTCGCCTGTTCACACGCTGGTCATGACACAGCAGCGGGGTCTGCAGTGGAGCAAACGCAGCTCAGTATAGAATCAGGACTTTTTTTAAATCTCACACCCTTGTAGTCCAATTTTAAAAGCCACAGTGAAAAAGAGAAGCAGCAGGAAAACTGCAGCTTTATGGAAAATTGGGCATTTTCAGTGGTGACCTCATGTTGCACTAGTGAGGGTAACTAGTAGACGTCGAACAAACAAAGCCAGACAACTTTTTTTCCGCCCAACTTTCCCGCCTTTCAGACTGTCCAATCAAATCAAAGTCTTTCTCTCGATAACAAGCAGTAACTCCCTTCAGATAAGAACCAATACCTTATTTCAAAAGATCATGCAGCCCTTCATCTCTCCTCTATTTTGGCACATTCTCTTCTCTCCACGGAGTAAACACTCCACATACAGCCAGGGTAACCACGTTTGAACATGTGCAAACACACCGAGATCGACTAAAACTGTTGTCCGTCAGGCATGTCTAATTCAAAGGGAGTGTTATTGACCTGACATCTGCCACTTCAACAGCCCTTCCATACAGCGGTCAATAGGTGAACCGCAGTCACAAAGCAACCAGCAAACCAGTGTGCAGGTGCGCTGTGCCGGGATGATACACCCTACAGTGACATGTTTACAAGTGAGTTGGATTAAATGAGTTAAATTAAGCCTCCATTAAATTAGCTGTGCTACCATACTCAAAAATGTTTGAGGTTGAAGTTAGACAGAGAATTTATTCAGGGTTGTGCAAAGCTCATTAAGCACCAGCACGCGTTCTGTAGCAGGGGAAGAGTGTTCATGTTCTGCTGTGAAACATACAGCACTTTGTGCAACGACTGCAGAAAACACGAGGACAAAGTGGGAAGTATTTGGCCAAATAAAGGGGCACTTGATGAATTTTTTTGAGGCGTCTAACTCAGCCTGTGAAAACAGTCGTACAGTGTTCTTCTGAGGCTCTGGAGGAGCTTTGTTTATGACGTCACTGTTATCTCATCTTGGAGACTACATATTTTTATATAAAAACAACCCCCAAAAAAGTTACAAATAGTGAGTGTGGTTTTCAAAAAGACATGGTCACAATTTCCATGGGAAGGTCTAACAGAAAAGCTAAGGTTAGTTGCATGATGGGAGATCCAGTGTTTTTGCAGATTGACTCATACTCTGGGCTAACAGCCAGGATATTGTAGCCACAACTACATCGATTTTGAACATTTTTATAATCTGTCTCCCGCAGTTCTCCTGAGGCACTTTAAGGATCATGTTACTGCTTTGTATCTGTAGATAAACGACTACAGAGCAAGCAACATCGTTCTCAATGATCCCAGGAAAACGTCATCACAATAACACCGTAAACATAATGACAATATTTGATGAGGTTACAGTATCTGTAAAAAAGAGCAAAAGTAAGAACGATAGGTTTTAATTGTTTCTCTCCAACTTCAAGGGTTGGGATAGATCTAGTCCAATATCTGTATCCAGCTAATTCACATATCGGATTTCGGACTGACGTCACCGATCCAGATTCCATAGTCTGGTGGTTTTATGAATGATGTAATAATGCAATTTTAAGCCAAAGTCAAAATGTTCTAGCAGAAATGAATTAGTAATTAAACTGTTCTTCAGAGATATCCAAAAGGAAACATCTCCCAGAATTGAGAGTGACTGAGTAAGCTGGTGACAACTGGCTAACTCAACGTGTGCTTCGTTTATAGATATTTTAGTCTCGAAACACAGAAAAAGCAACACAGCAACTTGTAATGTTTGTAAAGCCAACGTTCAGAGGGATGTCATCTGTGCTGCATTGTACAATACTACCAAATTAATTCGGCGGTATCAGCGTTGCTAACAGCAAATATCCAAATTCGGAACTAAAAAAGTGCCGTAGTGACTACTATCAATGGAAAAAGGCCACTAAGAGCCAAAGTAAGCTCTTTACTGTGACACGTTCAACACAGAAATCCATATTAATGCGGTTTACACCGTTTATTAAACAAAAAGACTCAAACTGTAACATAAGCCTTCTGACCCTCTTTGCCTCAGTCCTCATGCAAGTATACAGGTAAACAAGGTAAAACTACACCCACGTGTCAACAACCTGAGGCTGAACAGCTCAAATACGTGTTGTGGCTCCTACCAGTCACTGTTCTTTTTTCCAACTGCAACTGAACTCATCTGTCATAAATACTGACGGACAGGCCAGTGGAGCAGATGGCTGAATTAACAAGTGACACATATCACATCATTCTGTGGTCGGCCTGTTTGATATTCTCAGTTGACACCAGCGGACGTGAAATGAACTGAATAAGCAAACGCAACAGTTTGTTTAAACTGCACGAGCAGATCAGGTGTGAATACAACCTAAAAACACCTCGTTTCTCTACATTTGTACTTTTTGTACAGGCAGATGGCTCTCAGTCCATTTGCTGCTGGATGACTGCTCATTGGTGTAAGCAGAACACTTTGAGAGCTTCCTGGATACGAGATAAAGACGGAGCTGTTTTAAAATCTCTTTTTTGCCCTGTAGGAACTACGGTTCTGTGGGATTACGGCGCAGAATTAATTGCCAGTATTTTATTAGTCATGCAGCACATTTATTGTTTAATTCATCTCACATGTCGGGCTATCTTAACACGCTTCCACTGGCTTTTCAGTTAAAATGTGCTTAAAAAGTCATTTTTGGTGACACAGACCATAAATAACAGTATTCCCATACATAGCACAAGAAAATCTAAGATTACAATAGTTAAAAGATGTGAAAAGGAGATCGCATGGGCTCGAGGACGCTGCAAAAAGCTGGCTGTGACATTCAATGATCTGGCCTGAGAGTGTGGGGAAATCTTTATCAGGGTCACATTAGTGACTTAACACCAGGCGTAGTTTCACTATGCAGCATGTTGGAGCTTAAAACAAGTCTGTTTCTCACTTTCTGTTTCGGTCATGTGTATCACAGCAGTCATTTGTCACTTTTTGACGTCTTAATCCCATCTACCTCCATCCACTGAAGCTGTAACTGATCCAATAAATTGCTCTCAGTGGATGGCTGTGTGCCAGTGATGCTCCTACAGCACAACATGTCTGTGAGGCCTTGTCTGGGAGGTAAAAGCAATCAATGATTTCCTGTCAGTTATATCAGGGCAACAGCTCCACTTTAATTCACTGCTAGCTTTAACTAAACCTGCTGTGTCAAAAAAAAAAAACCTGGAAGCATTTTACTCAATTTCAAAATAAAGCTGTCAGAGTAGAGATAAGATTGTTTTCTCATTGGCAGTCAAACCACATTTCCTGCCAAGGTTTATCTTGTGAGTCATCATCTGCGATGTGGTCAACGCGACATCACGTGCATCAACGCCTCTTTTTGTGCAGCTGACCCATAAAATATGAATCACAGGAGTCAACAGTAACCCCAAGGACTGGGGTTATCCTAAGCATGTGCACACACATTCAGACGCTCACAGGCGATGCAATGATTCAGGGGCCCTGTGACATGTCGTCAGCTACACGGCAGGACAAGGCAGGAGCTGCATTCCTACGTAGCCATTTTCTGCTGCCAGAGAATAACAACCTGTAACCTGGGGCTTCGCCTATTACCTTTCTAGAAACCTTTGTTTAGGTTTCCTCTGCTTTATAGTGGTATTGAGCTCACTCTTTGAGCTCCCTAAATACTGGCATGGGCTTCTTAGTTTGTCTAACAACTCCTCATTGCTCTTAATTTAAAACTGTCCTGGTCAAAACAGATGCAGTAGGAAGTTAGTTTGCAATACCTGGAACTTGGTATCACCTCTTGGGAAGTGTGGAAATTTAGTTTTCAGGAACTTGGAAGCAGAAGGACGGGGAGAGCAGTGGAAACAAAAAGGTAGACCTTGTAACAAAAACAACACGTGAAGTCACGTTTCATTAAGTTCCTTCAGAGGAAAAAGGGTTATAAGAGACTGGAAAGCTCCTGGCCCAGGGAGGACTCCGGAGCAGACTCAGGAGCAGGAGAATTTACATCGGCATACCGTTGATACATATCTCAGCGATGGCAACGCCCCATACTTGAGTATCTTCATTTCTAGGTCACAAAACATCCCAGTCATTTTGGCTACACTGAGCAGGCTCATAAAAACTGTTTGGCTTCAAAAGGGAACACATGGACTGCAGTCGGTGTAGAGACAGCCAGCTGGCTGCAAGTAATACCATTTGAGATGTGAAATGGCAGATATGGATCATTTAAATCCAAAAAGCGCTCGTAGAGCTTCATGCACGACATAATACTGAACAATGGGATAATGTGAAAATGCAAACTAAACAGAGCTGGATCTGAAGTTCTGCTATAAATCTGAATAAAGCGCTGTGCCAGTCTACTGTACGATAACAATAACGCATTTATATGGGCAGCTGGCTTGAAAATCAGTACGAGACTTTGTGCTACAAATGTGTTTAATGTATTTTAGACTGTACAGCTCTGCAAATACAATCATATCTTAAACTTCTAAATAAATGTCCAGAGACGAATCACCACCTCCAATCCGATAAAGGTCTAGTATTTTGTAAAATATATATTCTAAAGGTGCATTTGCTTATCTTCAACCTCTTATATGTGCTTTTCTCTGTAATAACAAATGCATCTGTGACTGAAATAGTCCAATCTTAAACATGGAGCGGACATGTAGGTGACTTCTTGTCCACAGCACCATGGCAGTGTCTCTTTAGGAGAATAATTAGTGTAGATATGGACAAATAGTTTGCGTGCAATTTAAGAGGAAAACTTCATGGAAACATGCCAGCACTAGCAGATACTGTGAGTACTCTGAGCAGCTCTGCAGCCACTTCACTGGAGTGGGAGGTCGCAGTAGAAACCACTGGAAGCCATACAAACAGACTGCTCTCCAGTTATTACACTATTATAGCAACCAAAAACTAATTATCAACTATCATCAAAGGGTTGGTCCCAGTCTATGACATTATAGAGGTCATAGTTTGAATCTGAGTTTAGATCCAGTTCTTTAGATAGTGTAAATGAAATAAAAATAACTCTTAAATATGGAGGTTTGTAACTGTGCCACTGCTGTTTCACTTTCACAAAGTGCCGCACCACGCTGCGTGTTATCTCCACAGCCACAGCCAACCTAACGTTAAATAAAGCCGGTGGAGGCCAAATAAAAACCCTAATTAACTTCGGGTTAAGTTGCCGCGTCGGTATTTTAAAAGCGGCGTATTTATACAGCAGCTTGGCACAAAGCCACCGGAGGCTGCTCCTGGTGTGAACACATGGTTTGATGGCTGCCGCTAACAGGCCGTTACAGTCACAGAAAACAGGGCTTATTTACTCTAAAGGCAGAATATCTGTATCTTAGATGTAAAACAAAGAGTAATATGTAAGTGAGCGATATTCAATGCGGTTGTAATACAACGTTTGTGGCCGGTTGGCGAACATCCGCTTGCGCCTTTAACGTATGCGTCATGACTCGCCGTAAACGCCTCTCTAGTCTCTACCATCACACATCCGTTTCTTTCCGCAAGAAAAAGTGCTGGAAACCTACTTGTCGCTGTCTGCCTCACTGCTGTCACCCTCTTTCTTCAGCTGTTCGTCCAGCTCCACTGCGCCTTCGGTTTTCGCGCAGTAGGAGCGGAACGGGGCGGCGAAGGGCGCGGTGCGCAACGCCGGGCGGTGCGCAGCGGCATGGAGGACCTTCAGTTGAGCTCGGGCATCAAGGGAGGCGGTGCCGAAGCAGCAGTGGCGGGTCGGCAACCAGGGGTTCTGTCTAGAGCCGGACAAGGGACGCTTGAGGGTGGCTTCTAACAACTCCTTGAGCACTGTGGAAAACCTAAACTGTAACATCTCAATCCTGTCAGGCGGTTGGAGAGAAAAGTCGCGGTGCCAAATAGATCCGGTAGCAGCAGCAGGAGGGTTGTTACTGTTCGTCTCCAACCACGTTGACTGTCTGAGAGGCGATGACTCACACACACCGGCGTCCTAAAATAAATACAGGCGCAGTTCACGCCCCCTCCGCTCCTATTGGTGGAAACGAGGCGATGTCCGCCTCCAGAGAGCATTAGTGACGCTATGGGTGCAGGGATTGGAGTCTCTCTGTGTCTGTCAACTCATGTTATGGGGTTTTCTTGAGCAGTATAGGACGATTGAACCGGTGGCTCAGACGTTTCTAGCATCTGTTTAAAAACGTCACATTGCCCAGTGTGTTCGAGGATTCAGGTCCCTTAATTAAAGTACTAATACCACTTTAAAGATACTGTCCTGCATTTAACATGTTACTTAAAGAATGTTATGTAAAATTAATCAAATGTTTAAATAAAAAGTTCCAAAAATAAAATGTTACTTAAGTAAAAGTACTGATACCACATTGTATAGATAGATAGATAGATAGATAGATAGATAGATAGATAGATAGATAGACAGACTTTATTAATCCC